AGAGAGAGAGAGAGAGAGAGAGAGAGAGAGAGAGAGAGAGAGAGAGAGAGAGAGAGAGAGATAGACAGATAATGAGATATATAAATAGATAGGCAGAGATATATATAGATAGACAGATCATATATAGATAGATAGACAGACAGCTAGATGGATAGTGCATGAGCAAGCTCTGGAAAGAAGTGAACTATTGGGATGTAGGAAGAGGAAACAGGTATATGTGTGTGCGCGTGCATCCGTGCGAGAGAGATAGACAAGGCGAGAGAGAAAGAAGTAAAATATCACAGTGACAAAATTAACAATAGCCGAATAACCTCAATCTTGCGCCTACATATCTATAAGACTAATCAACCTTTTCGAACTTCTTTTGATTCCAGCTGTCATCATAACCCTGGTATGTACCTGGAAAATCTGTGCTGTGAACCTGTAACCAATACATAAAATTAAAACACGTTCACACCCCAATTATAGACAGTTACACAGACATCACATAGTGAACCTATAGGCATTTTTCCAAAGGTAGAAATGTAGTCACACATTTATTTGTAGACTGCGAATTCATTCATAGTTCAAGTGCATGCAACGATGCACTCTGAGCAGTGTAATGTATAACGCTAATAAAATGACTGTGATTAAATCCATCGTGTACTAATATTACGAAAATACTTCCAACAAGAGTCTGTATACATTTTTGTTTTACGAATTATGTAAACCCTGGCAGTAGTATAGTACCTCATTTTTTAATATTTGTAATTTTGCATATTTTTTACGAAGTGATTATTTCCCCGGCAAGCCGGACAACTAAGCCAAGAAATCAAACTAGCTTCTCCGGCAAAAAGCAGACTATGCCGCCAAACTCCATGCTGGATAAACAAGCGCCCATTTCATTATTTCTCCGGCATCGTAGTTCCATGCTTTGCCGCTGTGCTCCGACAGCGCTCCTTCAGAGATGCGAAGATGTGATCAGAAGATATCACTTCGGAAAAAATTCCCGCCTAACAAATGCCTAATCACAGCGCCATGCTACCACGTGGCAAACTGCTCACAGTGTAAGTTCTCTCTGCCAGGTGCGCTGGGTAGACCACGTGGCCGTCTTCCCGCCTAATACAGCGGACCGGGACACTTCGGTCTGCTGGAGAATTTAACTACGATTTTCGCTGTCTACGGCAAATCCGGAGAAGCAGTGCTGAAAACGTACACTTGTTTCTCCAATGACGGAGATCTAACAAGAAAATTTGTTCTTAATTCTCCGGCGGCCGGAGAACTAACGATGGTTTTCACCGCTGCTTCTCCAGCTGCCGGAGAAATGATATCAGCCTATTTTTTATGTTTTAAAGACACTAGGTGTCACTAGTGTACTAACATTGACGGTCCAAACGACATACAAACTGGAGATTTTAACCCGTATTTAGCAAAGACCTAGATTGTACAGACCCTTATTGTAGTATGAAATTATTTGAGCTAATGAATATATTTCTGCGTTAACCACTTCTCGGGGACGTCGCATACATACAACTGAAAAACAGAGTTAAAGTTGGAAACTTTGGCGTGATCACGGATGCACCATCGTTGTCACGTCCAGTTTGCAGTACACTAATACACGTTGACACTTGCTGCGTGCGTATATTTGACACGCATATGTTACTTAGTGTTCTCTAGACTATTATACATGCTTACATCTTTCACGTCGTGTTCTTCTAAGCTCACACGTGTTCTTATCTTCTCCATTGCTTGCTCCATTGCTCCGCTGGATTTACATACAGCGTGAATCAACCGCAACCAATCATACCAGGTTAATGTACGCGATAAAATACGTTATTACGAATCGGAAGATTAATCCGAAGTTATTACAAGTTGAACAAAATAATATGTATCTTATTTAATAATCAGGAATAATAGTTTAAACGTAAAAAATATAATATATTAGCATCAATTTGTAAAGATAAGTTTACTTGCGCGTTGTGTTTTATCAGTTTGTTACTCCTGTTGTCGCAGTAGCCATTTTTCCAGCAGTGGGAGTTTCTTTGCCTATATCTGATGTGCTAATAATAATATCTAGTTGTTATATGTTGTTGCCTATCTACATGCATCTACACATAGTCAAGTAGGGGTTCGCAGAAGTATAGGAAAGTTGAGAAGATGGTACATTCAGATTTGCCTTATTTTACGAACCGTTTACGTTTAATTATCATCAGTTTGCTTCAACGGCGGGTTAACTGTTGCTCATAGGGTCTATGTCCCCCAGGGTACTGCCGGAACGTACCCTGGGTACGGTCCGGTATACCGGAACGTACCCTGGTCACTATTTGATATGGTTAGGGTTAGGGTTTGGGTTAGGGAGTAGGCGTAGGTGACTCCCTAGACTCGTTAGTGGAGTAGGCGAGGTACGGTCCGGCATATTAGATAGTACCAGGGTACGTTCCGGCAGTACCCACAGGCACCTATATCTAACACGATCCCCAATGCGAGGCACCGAAGGTGTGAGAAGGTAGGACACACAATTTCACGAATGTCGATATCAATGAAAGTTTTTGATTCTCAATAAAAATATGCACATCCCGCGTATTTCTACTTTGTTGTACTAACCTCCCTGTATATGTTTGCACTGTCGATGATATTTGACAGCGTTAGGAGAGTAAAATTCCGTCGCCAAGTAAAAAATTAACAGTTCGCCACACGTTCAATGGCGGTCATGGCGTGGCCAAGTCATGGCAATGCCGCCACCTGATAGGACAAAATTCTAAACACAAGTCGCCGCCATTTTTCTAACGTGTGGGAACTGTTAATTTTTAACAAATATGGAATATATGCTATATACGCTGTAAAACATGATTGACAGTTCAACGCAAAGACGCCGAGACAACAATACAAACTAAGAAGCGTGTATGCACATGTATTTTAATTGAAACATTCACATTTTTTATCTAAAAAAGGTCCGATTTGATAAAGTCGTGAATTGTGTGTCCTACCTTCTGCACACCTTCGGTGGCTCGCATTGGGGGATCGTGTTAGATATAGGTGCCTGTGGCAGTACCCCGGTGGACATAGACCCTCTCAGCTTAACTGTTAGTGTTAGGCGTTACGATTGCTGAGTTAATTAATTGGCCGTGCTACGCGCCGTTCGCGGACGAGGAGCCGCTAGGCTACGCGTTCGGACATCCATCTCACAACAGTGAGCTTGCGACACGTACACGCATGATGCGAATGGGACGCTCTGGCTGATTGCCATGTGTGTGTGTGAGAGAGAGAGAGAGAGGGAATGGGTATGTGTGTGTGTATGCGTGAGAGAGAGAGCCTCAGAGAGGTGTGTGTGAGAGAGAGAGAGCGAGAGAGAGCTGCGGCGGTGTGTGGTGTGAGAGAGCGAGAGAGGACGGATGAAAAGGATAGACACAGCAGGCAGAGGCGTCCCATTGCGGCAATCATGCGTGTACACGAGTCGCGTGATCACTGTGTGAGTGGATGTCCGGACGCATACCCTGGAGGCTAGGCAACCGGTTCCGGACGCGTAGCCAGTGCGTAATTAATTCGCTGAGGCTACGGGTACGGCAGCCGTATCTCGAGTCTCGAGGGACGGGCAGTCCATTCGCTTTCATACTTAACGAGACAAAGATGGCGCGGGTGCCCGGATTTCGAATATAACGCCTTGGGAAATAAATTCAACGATATAGTGTTAGATGAGCCTTGAACCCTAACCCAACCTAACGCCAAAAGGGGCTTCAACGAACGAGCAGCTGCCAAACTTCGCAGCCACTGCGTAATTAATTAGACCTACATCAGTAACTGTCCACAGTCGTTGTCACTTGCTGACCGAAGTCCGTAATGACGGATTGTGATTAAAGCGGGGGTTATTTTCTTGAAGTTGCAGTCCACGATAAATAATCGTAATTCGGACTTGGAAGACTTACAAGTGCGTTCAAATGATCGAAAATTTATTATCTAAATCTAAATCGCGACGCCCTGCTGTACTGACTGTAGTTTTCGACGGATGAGTGTGTTTGTGGGTCCCACTAAACAGGCGGGAATGTGCATGAATGTGGCATCTATAACTGCCGTAATGTATCAAAATGTGGCAAAACGGGTTTAAACGTGTTAAATCTGTCGAAACCTCTCGGAGTTCATAAATGTGCACTGCTATATATATATATGTTCAAGAGCAGATAAAGAAGGAGAGCGTACAAGGGTAAAATGCTGAAACCATGCTGCAGTATTAGTGGAATTAATAAACTTTTCCCATTTTATTTTGACGATCCTTTGCAGTATTATTGATTAGCTGTCTTAACCTTGTTCATATAAAACAAACCGGCATGTCCCCTACGATGCCCCTACGCTGAGATAATGAGGCGGTGAAAAATCTGGTATTTTCCGCCGAAACCGACTCGAGATCAGTGTGAACTGCGTCGCTCTCCCACGAAGTGTTATAACTTCGGGAAACCTCGGCGTGTCCCGATGACGTCTGTTATTGATTGCCATAGTGATGACCCCACACCTGTGCCCACCTCACGCCCCACCTCACGCTGGATGTATAGTAAACTCTGGTAGTATTACGTGAGTCAGCGCCACTATGCGCTACACAGCGGCGACCGGAAGCAACACACTGGAAACACTTCGAGAGACAGTCGCAGTTCACACTGATCTCGAGTCTGGTTTCGGCGAAAAATACCAGATTTTCACCGCTGCATTATCTCAGCGTAGGGCATCGTAGGGACATGCGGTTGTTGTTATATGAACAAGGTAAGACAGGCTAATCAATAATACTGCAAAGGATCGTGCAAAATAAAACGGGAAAAAGTTTATTAATTCGACTAATACTGCAGCATGGTTTCAGCATTTTACCCTTGTACGCTCTCCTTCTTTATCTGCTCTTGATATGTTACATATATATACTACATATTGCTATCCGTAATGTGTGTAGTATATTATTTTCAACATAAAACGTGATCGTGCGCATAATTGCTTTATATTCATGATTGATACATTGTGGCCGTTATAGAATGCACATTTCACCACATTCTGCACATTCTGCTCATTTAGTAGTGCCACGTACATCAAGAGTACATAATAGAGAAGAGTATGACACCGTTACAGCGTTTTTGCATAGTTTTCACTTGTAAATATTCCTAATCATAATGTAAATAAATATATAAAACTTTTACCTTGTTTTCATCTATGATCTCCGCTTAATCATATGACACCACCAAATTTACCTGAAAATCGTATGTGTTCTTCAAAAACGTTCTTGAATACAACACGGTTTTCACACAGTTTTCCAAATGTTCGCAGTAATTTGGCGCAAGTTTTATTATGGGATTAGTGTTTTATTGTCTATGACGGAACGCTGGGGGCTGTTGGGGATTATTAGGCATCGAATTGTATTCAGGCATGTAGGGTTCTCAGCGATGCTAAAAATAAATATGTGCTAACGGCGAGCTAGCAGCTGATTTTAGCTGTGTTTCCATCGTGTTCCTGATGATAAGGAAGCGAAACAAGTGCTGCTACTGTGCTTACCTAATATCCACAACACCCCCCAGCATCCCGTAGTTACAACCTGGTGCTGCTGCCGCATATCAACATGCGCCGAATACATGCGCTCATTTGGGAAAACTGTGAAACCGTGTCATATTCAAAGAACTTATTGGAAGAACACATACGATTTTCAGTAAATTGGTGGTGTCATATGATTTTAAGGAAGAATCATAGACGATATTTATTCACATATTGATAGAATATTTACAAGTTGAAAACTATGCAAAACGGTGTCATACTCTTCTCTATTATGTACTCTTGACATACATACGTCGTCACCATAACCCTGGATTGTTGGTAAAAGCCGCCAGACCCACGTACGCGATTCCACTCGTGCACTGATCAGTCATTACCTGCTTAATTCGTTGCAGATCCGCTTCATCCTGATTCAGAACCGAGCAGGGAAGACTCGTCTTGCCAAATGGTACATGAACTTTGACGATGACGAAAAGCAGAAATTGATAGAGGAGGTGCACGCGTGTGTCACTGTCAGAGATGCCAAGCACACCAATTTTGTCGAGGTACAAATATATTGCTTTTCACACAAAACTGGCATCATGATATATATCTTGCTAAAGGTACTTGCGCATATTACCACCACTTGGTAAAGAGTAACCACGAAAACCACTTTGTTTGTTACGTGTGTCTACGTGTTGATTGGTTTGCATTTCTGTTCTAGTTCCGAAACTTCAAGATCGTGTATCGGCGATATGCGGGTCTGTATTTCTGCATCTGTGTTGATGTAGGAGATAACAACTTGGCCTACCTAGAAGCAATTCACAACTTCGTAGAGGTGCTGAATGAATACTTCCACAACGTCTGTGAACTCGACTTAGTCTTTAACTTCTACAAGGTATTGTGTAATCTATAACAAATTACTTGATCGATAGTTTTATCATTGGATATATCCTAGGCGGTAATAAATTCACTGTGTATTGTGATTGTTGTTACCTACGATAACATGTAAAACCAAGCCAAATTCAATGTGTTACTATCACGCAAAAGTTTAAAAATGAATGGGTTCGCAATCTGTTTAACATCCATCCCAGTGTTTAAACCATGATACTACATTTGTAGTTGCTGTTATACGTGTATTATCAAGAGCTAATAATACCTAGAGTGTACAACGGAAAAACGGGAAAATAGTGCTATTTCATGACAACATTATTCTACTTTGCCTGCGAGTCTATAATAATTTCATGGTATTGCATTAAGCAGAAT